ATCGGCGCTTCTTCAGGGCTCAGCAGAAGCGCCAGGATCAGTGCCGAGCTCCAGCTGGAGCCTGGCGCTGATCCTGGCGCTTCTGCTGAGCCCTGACAGCCCCGAAGAAGCACCGATCAGCTGGAAAGCGGCACTGATCCTGGCGCTTCTGTTGAGCCCTGAAGAAGCGCCGATCAGCTGGAATGTTGCAGCATTTCCAGGGACTTGTGATTTACATTCAGATGCTTGGCAACCGATTCATATTTATGACGGTCACAGTGTCCCAGGGTCATGTGAAGTGACCAAAACCTCCTGCAACCACCCAGCAGACGGGGGGAATAAAAGCCAAACACACACCCCACCCCACCCCACCCCCGCTGCCAATCCTCAACAGAAATGCTCACAACAATGAAAACCTCGGACAGGAGGAAGAGCGCCACCGGGCGGGCAGGCAGGTGTCTTCCTCAGCTGTGGCTTGGGGGGCACTTTTTTCAGTGCCATTGTAACTTCGAACAGTCACTAAGCAAACTGTTGTAAATCGAGGACTACCTGTACTTTATCACTTTTTTCCTTTTGGGGGGGGATCATCAAGTTTTTGACACCTTGCTAGGCGACTGGTGGTACTCGGATGTTGCCATATCCTAAAAGTGGTACAATGGGTGGAAAGGTTGAAAAGCCCTGCCCTACACCATTTCAGACAAATGGCTGTCCAGTTTCTTCTTAAAAACTTCCAGTGTTGGTGCATTCACCGCTTCTGGAGGCAGGTTGTTCCACTGGTTAATTGTTCTAACTGTCAGGAAGTTTCTCCTTAGTTCTAGATTATTCTCTCTTTGATTAGTTTCCACCCGTTGCTCCTTGTCCTGCCTTCAGGCGCTTTGGAGAATAGCTTGACTCCCTCTTCTTTGGGGCAGCCCCTGAGATATTGAAACACTGCTATCATGTCCCCCCTCGTCCTTCTCTTCATTAAATTAGACATACCCAATTCCAGCAACCCTTCCTTATATGTTTTAGCCTCCAGTCCCCTAATCATCTTTGTTGCTCTTCTCTGCACTCTTTCTCATTCAGAGTTACAACGGCACTGAAAACAGTGACTTATGCCCGTTTTTCACACTTAACAACCGTTGCAGCATCCCCGTGGTCACGTGATCAAAATTCAGATGCTTGGGGATTCACATCTTAATACAGAAGTTTGTCAAAGGGAACATAAAAATAAAACCAGAAACTTTCCTTCAGGAAAGTTGGGAAAAAGATTGGAACTTCGATGTCATATATGTTGACAACAGCAACACAAAAATGGAAGGACACTTTGGTTCGCACAATGGCTGAATGGCTGCAAAAGTTGATGGAGTGAGCAGAGATGGCTAAATTGACTGCTTTGATCAAAGAAAAAAAATACAAATACTTTTGTTTCAGCTTGGAAACCGCTTATGGACTTTGTGCTTGAGGTGGAAAAAAATGAAACTTTGATTTTGGGATTTACCGATTAATAGGTTTGTTGTTATAGAAATGGCTTATAGTTTATATTATTATGTGAAAGTAAAAAGTTGAGGTTTGATGCTCTTATCTTATTCTACTATACCAAAAAGAGTCGGAAGTCAATTCTTGCTTTTTTTCCTTTGCCCCACCCTTTTCCCTTCCTTTTTTTCTCCCTTATTTTCCTACTATTTTCTTTCTTATTTTTGTATTTTATGTTATAAACGTATATTATAAGCTAATAAAGGAAATATATCAGAAAAAAATTTCAGATCCTTGGGAACTGACTCGTATTTATGACGGTCGCAGTGTCCTGGGGGGTCACGTGATCCCCTTTTTGCGATATTCTGACAAGCACAGTCAATGGGGGAAACCAGATTCACTTAACAACCATGTGACTCACTTAACAACTGCAGCGATTCATTAAATAACTGTGGCAGGAAAGTCGTAAAATGGGGCAAAATTCACTTAACCAGTATCTTGCTTAGCAGCAAATATTTGGGGCTCTATTGTGGTCGTAAGTTGAGGACTATCTGTATCTTCTAAACTCTACTGGAGAGCTGATTAGTCAGATCCTCTACAATGTAATAATTGGATTTTATGATGCAGATCAAAGTGTCTCTGCATTCCTTTGTCTGGGAAGATAGAGGGAACGAATCACAGAACAAAATTACGCATCATATTTCTTCAAGCCCTAACACAATGCAGAAACCACACAATTTTGGGTGGTCCCTCCTAATGGGTTAAGAAGACAAATGTTAGATCGTATTCTAGAAATTAATTTTTTTATCTTCCCATTATGTAGTTGTCCTTCAATCAAAGTTGAAAGGGCAGAGAAAATTGATTTTCCCTGGGGATTTCAAGTATAGATAATCACGCCAAGTGTTAATTATTAAGTTAATCATACAATCATTTTATCTGTCTGTCTGTCTGTCTGTCTATCTATCTGTCATCCATGTTTGTTTGTCTGTCCGTCCATCCGTCTGTCCGTCTCTCTGTCTCTCTGTATCTATCTGTCATCCATATCTGTCTGTGTGCCTGTCTACCTACCTACCTACCTACCTTATCTGTATGTCTGTCTATACATCTGTCTACTTACCTACCTACCTTGTCTGTCTGTCGGTCTCTGTATCTATCTATCTATCATCTACCTACCTACTTACCTACCTACCTAATCTGTCTGTCCGTCTCTACCTACCTACCCATCTTGTCTGTCTGTCTGTCTGTCTGTCTGTCTGTCTGTCTTTATCTATCTATCTATCTATCTATCTATCTATCTATCTATCTATCTATCTATCTATCTATCTATCTATCTATCTATCTATCTATCTATCTCTATCTCTATCTCTCTAACCCTATCTATATATCTACATCTATATATCTATCTGTATCTGTATCTCTATCTATATATCTATATCTTTCTATATCTAAAGTAACCTTTTACTCAAAGTTAAAACAAAAACAGAAAAATATCATGCAAAAATATACAGATTAAACAATCAAAATAATATTAAAAATTATACAATAAATTTCATTTTAAACAAAAAATGCAGAGTGCATGCTATTAATAAGAATTAAAAATGTATGATATTTCCATAATCATAACAAATCTGTCAAATCCTCAGTTCAACACTTTATTTTTATCTTTTCTCAAGCAAGAAATCCAAAAGTGATTCTCCGAACAGAAATAAAAATGAGATAGTAGTCAGTTTTGCCATCTCTTGCCAATTTCAAAATCCGCTCTTCAGTTGTGCGTATTTGTGTATCTTTCCACCTCTATCCATATAAAAGTCTCAGCCCTGTGGTTTTATGTTAACATGCATTTAACTTTGTGACCATTTCAAAAACACTCAGGGGTAAGTAAAGTCTAGTCCAGGGGTAGGCCACCTTGGCCCCCTCATGACTCGTGGACTTCAACTACCAGAATTCCTGAGCCAGCATGGCTCAGCTTGG